CTGTGCATTGTATGCGTACGTTGTCTGTGCAATTTTGTACGAGTCTTGCCGTTGTATATAGTGTTGTCGCTCGCGCTGCGCGGCAACGGTCGCACTTTCCTCATGTCGCGTAGAGGATGATCTGATAAAAATCAAGAAACTCTTTTGTTAAATCTTATCTTGCGTGAGATAAAGTAATGAGATAAACTAAAATATATATATATTTTTTCTACACCTGTGATGCTTTCTTTCGGTACAGCACTGTTCTCTTGATCGACACTGCCTTTTCGAGGTGGTTGTACGCTTCCTGTCGATGCCGCACGACTTCCGACTCCGCGTCGCTTTTTTGATTTTTGTTCGCTGAGTCTATCCAAAGGTAGATCGTTCAAGTCCAAGTTGTACACGTGTCGCGCCAACACTCTCGTTAGCGTGTCTAGAGTTTTCTATATAAAAAAAAAAACATTATTTCACAAGTTTCACAAATGAGAATTCGCGATATATTCGTCACTTACTTACCGCCCATTCTCGAATCAGCTCTTCCCATTGTGTTAACGACGTTAACACTTCTAGAAACTGGTCCCACAATTGCGTAGAAATAACCACGTTTAAGTTAGCCTTGATCCATGTAACGATTAAAGTTTGGAATATCGCAGGAGCAAGTTTTCCGCCGATAGTTTCTTGATGTTTGCGACGAGATGATTTCTCGCTCAATACGAGCGATGTAATTTGAAGTAACACTCTGATAGAGCCAAGAAATCGAAATTAATCGTCGCGAACAAATTTAGATCGCGAAAAAGAAAATTGAAAGAGAAAATAAATCGTGAATATACCTAAGTAACTGTTCCCAAGTTGCTGGTTCCAGTCTGGAGTGCATAACAACATAACGATATACATTTAAGACTCTTTTACAACTGTCCGTTTGTTCTTCGAGTAATGTTGGAGACGCATTAGGTCCCGAATTCTCTAAGAAAAATACGTTTGATGCTTGAGTGATGAAAATTTGTAAAACATTCTGCAAGCCTGCTCTAATAAATAAATTTTCCCGATGTATAGCGCCAAGATAAGAATCGTTTCTTAATCTTGTCTGTCGATAACTTTCGGAAGGACTCTTTTCCGTTTCATTAGCATCCTTTCTTTGACTCTCTTCTGAGTCCCGATCTTTATGAGTGTCCAACGGTTCCAACATAAACGGAGGGATTTCCTATAAAAGTATATCGAGATAAAATAATTTATACACACAAATTTATATATGAGATATATTATTTTAGATTGTGTTCACAGAACTCACGTTCATTTGAATCCAATCTTTATAAACGGCAATAGCTTTTCTTATAGCTACTGCGTGATTAAAATCCAGGAGAAACGCTTGTCTGTACAATTCGTGTACAAAGTTCACATTATCTCTATTCCCATATAAAACCTCTCTGACTAACATAATCGCCGAAACGGTATTGTCTTCTTGACTCTGACTATCTTGCTGAGACATAGTTGATTCGGGTGATAGTAAATTTGAGTCTGTAGAATTTTGAGTAACAGATACACGGCGTAATTCTGATTCGACATTTTCCTCATTCGGTGTTGTACTATAGATTTTGATAAGAATTAAAATTACATGGAAATATTAGAAAATTGTGCGGAAATATCATATATTGCAAATAGATTACCTTTGTGAAAGGTGTGCAAAAAGTCCATCTTTTCTAACATGAGTAAAGCTTGCGATCCATTTGATTACTGCGACTTTACAGAGCACATAGTTATTCTGATTTTGATTCATCGGTTTCCGCATTGTAGGTAATTCCAGATTAGGTTTGTAAAGCGAAAAATTGTCATCGAATTCCGGACAAATGTGACGAAGATACGTTGCTTTGAAACGTTCTAGCAAAAATTGAAAAGTTTTGTATTGTCGCGTAGATTTATCCCGCCATTCTATTTTCACTACCTGTAATTAATAATTAATAAATGAATAACTTTATTAAGTAGTAAATATCAAAAAATAATTATTATTAAATAATCATTTTTAGTGAAATATTTCTAAAGAATGACAAATGAATAGAGTACCTGAGTGACCATAAATTCGAGCAACGCTTCCAAAAACCTAACAGTCTCATTATCGAGCGGCTTTTCTCCGCTTTGCGGTGGTAAGATAGGTCCGCCATCAACTTGGCTGATAGGACATTGATTTGATCCATTGTCATGAAAAGTACTCTGTCCAAGTTGTGTATCGTAGAATTCTCTCTTGTCTTTCTCTTCCGAATTAGCTGTCTTCACGAGTTTTTCTTTCTTGCCCTCTGTTTTACGATCGCATTTGTAAGGCGACGCTTGATGCGGTGGAAATCCAGGCACCAAACTGGCAAACATCTGATGTATATGCTCGGGAGCATTTTCGCCAAGGGCTTGATACCACAAAACAAAGTATCTAAAACATTTATATATGTTAAATATATAAATACATCATTTTAAATAAATATATGTAATATGCTTTGAGAGATCGATTACTATGTACCTTATGGCTTGTCTACGAAGTTTCCAACTATTACCAGGATGTAAGAGCTTCTGCAGAATTCGTGCTAAACTATGACACTGCCATCGTCTGTTGAGCAGCTCCGGAAGAAGAGTTAAAACTTTTTCCAGAAGCTGCAATACTTGTTCTAACTCCTCTCTGTGTGCTTTATGCACTATAAACAAAAAATAGACTGTTCTCTATCTTCAAGTTATATAAAACACATATTTCTAGAAAATATCATAAAAATAAAACAATCAATGTGAGAACGTTATTTGCACAAATTTTTTTATAATTGTATAACTCAATCAAAGAAAATTATAAATTAAAAGAAATAATTATAAATTATAATTAATAATTAAAAATTTTTAATTATATCTAAAAAACCATAGAATGTAATAAAACTTCTAAACTAAGAATAATATAATATATGACTTACCAATATGGAAGGAAAGCTCTGGCAGCAGAATGGAAAGAAATGAAAGAGATGATAATAAAGTAATAATGTGTGAGTATTGCATGGTTAATAAAAAAAATTTATTATAATTTTAAAAGCAATGAGGTATATTATATGTTTAATGTTAAGTTGCATGTGATATAATTATATGATATATACTTTAGTATGAAACTTTTCAAAGTTATATAGCGATAAGAGATAGCTTTTTTAGTACTTATATTATTTTAGTATCAGTTTTATCTTCAACTTACCACGTTGTCGAAGATTTGCTTCAGCAGATACGAAACAATCATACAAGATGAAGTACACATGGCTGAAGTTACCCTCAAAAAAGCCCTTTGCCTCATCAGTATCCACATTTTCTTCAATATGAAAATATGCATATATTAATACATGTTTCTTGTATAACATATTATGAAATATTTAAAGGCATAATCTATATTAATTGAAGAACTGAAATAAGGAAAAGAAATGTTTCTCTTTCATGACGTTATGTGCCTTAAACAGAAAAATGTAGAAATGCTATTACATCATAACTGGTATTGGACACCTGTACTTATATAGCAATTTCTTTTCCTTTTCCTTATATGTTTATTATGAAAGGAACAGACAGATATGGCATAATTACATATTATGACATTCCAGACATAAATAGAATAAAAATGAAATCACACCAAATAATACAATAGAAATATTTGTTCCGTAAATATAATAAAATATTTACAATATCTATAAAATATTTATATCCATAAATATCAAAATTATATATGAAACATTTAAAATTATAGATAACTTATCAGCAGTTTAATAATCAAAAATAGAATAGAGGGACACGTATAGATATACGAAACTTGTATTTATATAATTCCATATATAAAGATACATGAAACTAGTAACAACAATGTAACTTTAGCTGGAGATGGAGGCCATAGAAGTTGGTCAATGTGGTCATGCGGTTTGGTGATTAGATACTGACTATCTTTCATAATATTGAGAGACCACAATCTTATGACTGGATTAAATTTTTTTTTAATTAGGACACGCAAATATGATGTAAACCATATTTCTTGCAAAAATCCAAGTATAAAAATATACTTATTTCTTGTTTTTGCTTTTAAAATTGTCAAATATTATATGAAATACATTTTGCATTTTAGAAAATTTCTAAAACATACATATCTTAAAATTTGACATTGTATATGTAAAGTACATAATATATGCGTAATATATTTTTATAATACTGTTGCATTTAGAAAGAGAGATTCATAAAAATTATAATTTTAAAATCCTTGTATTATTGTTACTTAATAATTAATTCAAGTATTCTATTTTAACGATATCCATATTTTTCATGTTCTTAATATCTTAAAGTTAGATGAATTTTAACGATAATAAGCAAATTATATTTCTCTTTTAACAACAAAAAATAATATTCACTCTCCCAGATTCAGATAAGCGTACAGGGAGTGAAAAGTGTCACTTGTCAAAGAATACGATACAAAGCCAAACAAGTATCAACACTTCCTCGTATGAAAAACATCGTTAGATTCCACTTTAAAGAGGCCTCAATGAGGGTGTGGGAGTAAGCTAACTACCAAAGGTCAACTCTTACACACATCACACGATCATCCTCTCTCAAGACGAGCTTCAGCGATCGGTCGCCGATTATTCGCGACTTGGAGTAAAGCGTGGAGAGATTAGCCTCCTCACCTAGCACGATCTTGAGGTGCTTGAATCGCGTCGCACTGTCCTTCTTAACATCCTGGATTTTGAGCGTCGACTTCTTGACGTCCACATGAAGTTTCTTGCTGAACATGGTTCAATGCGAGCCGCCGGCGGCCGCGAGGACAGGAACAACCATCGACACGACGGCGCCCAGGAGATGGTCCACATCGATAGCGATGCCGATTAATTGACTAACGCGCTATCATCCTGCCAGCGACGCGAGGCGCCAGCGTGCATGGCTCAACCTTTATCACGTCAAATCGGCGTCGAATTTCGCACACACACCTCCGATCAGATGTACGTGACGGCCATCTTGAGAGGTTGCGCGTCAACGATGCGCACGGTACCTCGGGGGGCAATGACATCATCCGTCATCCAATTTGCTCGACCGGAGGGATCGACAGGTATACAGTATCCGAGGAAATTAGAATTGACAATTGTAACGATCGTTGTGGATTCAATTGTCAAATGTCGCAGGATTATCGTAAGATTTATTTTCTTGTTTTTCTTTCTTTTTTTTCCTTCGAACTTGAGATGAGGTTATAATTCTCCGAGTTAAAATTCCTGGCGCTTCTATTTATAACGTTTTGCAAAATATTTTGACTGAAAATAGACGATGCACGAGGTAAAAATATTTACCGTTTATTTGTATTATTTGTTATTCGTGTAACATGAATCGCGGATCAAAATTTTGAATTTGCCGCCAATTCTTCGAGATAAAATTCATTTGTGTTATTCACGTGTATATATTTAATTTAAATAATTATCAGATTTTACTTATAAAAGGGAATGTTATATTTAGTCTTATGAAAAACAAGGATAAACGACGATGCTCAATTTCTAATAAAAAATAATTATTTACCGATCGAGTAGTATCTGTAACCAGATCAATATTCGATGTTACTAGACGTCAGTTTGCACGTGTGGCTGCACTTGAACGAGCGGAAGTGACGTCAGTTGGCGTAGTTATATCAAATTAATCGTACGCGCTTTCGCGCGATTTCAACATGAATTTATCGGAAGACGAGAGTTTATCGGAAGATGAGGAATCTTGTATGAAATTCGTATTTGTTAGAGAAGAGAATACAAGTCGACAGGAAAAGGTGAAAGCGTTCTGGAAATTTTTAGACGGTCAGAATTGCTTGCAACCTCACAAAGGTACGAGATAAGATACATCTAAATAATTAGGTTATTATAATATATTCGGCAAAATGTGTTTTTTCACTTTACTATATGATATCTGTCATCATTTGTAAAAGATTTAATACGTCATAAATTTCATAAATTGTGTTATTATAATGTAATAAAAAAAACATGTATTTAGAGTTATAATCGATTATATATAAAGTTAATAAGATATTGCATGCATGTGAGTGTGTGTGTGTGTGTGTGTGTGTGTGTGTGTGTGTGTGTGTGTGTTGTGTTAAATGTTATTTCTTGTACAAAGATATATATCAAAAACTCCGTTATATATTTAAACAAGAGGTCCTTTATGTCAAATTCATTTTTATTTTTGTTATATAAAATTATCTATAAAAGCAGAGTGAAAAATTAATCGAGAATATAAACTAATCATAAGATGAAATATGTTGTTCCAAAGGTACATTGGAGCATGAATCGTCGTTGGAAGCGGAATCGCCGGAATCGAGTGTGGATGAAGCTATGAAAGAAAAGGATATTTGGCGGAAAGGCTTGAAGGTCTTTCAACAACTCGGCCTGGATAAGACTGCACTCGCGGCTGATAAAAGATGTCGACCCTGTCAGATGTACAAAACGATTCGGTACGATTTGTTAAAACGACTTAATTTATTGAAATGAACAGCTCGAGATCATTTCTTTTCAAACGATCGTAGATGCGAGGATCTGGCCGATACCGTGACGCAGCCGTACGAGGAATTGAACGCCGACATGAAGGCTTTCGACGAGCGTCAGAAAAGTCGTGACGCGAATCAAGGCGAAGCACCTTATGCCGGAGATAGATTAAATCAATGCAACTCCTATTATGCAAAAACAAAAAAATAATCGTTGCTTACACATCGGCTAGTATCCCATGAAACGCATCCGACGATTCCGTCAATATTTAATTTCTCGATTTCAATTTTAAATTTATAAATCAATAAAAAAAATACACACGCGTTTATCTATAAAAATTATCGCGCGATTTTTTTATTATAAAAAAAATATAATATGTTATAAGGAATTTTCAAACACATTGATCATACGATAGATAATGTGCAAGATGTCTCGATATAACATATATCTCACTCATGATCACACGTTTTTAAACTGCTCGAAAATAAGCAATAGATCAGTCGATGGCAGAAATTACAACGTTTACTCGCGACATACGAAGGCCAAGCTCCGTTTCGAGATTGTCAGTTGTTTAATGGAATTGGACCGGGCCAGAATATAGATGAGTAGGGTAGCGCACATTTCTCCGGGTACTGTGGTGGTGTATCGAATTTCCTTAGTCCTGGAGGTCGACGTTGTTTCGAGCAAGGTGCGCTGCGTTACGGGAGCTGCTGTGAATGGATCGGCGGATCCTGAATCCTTACGCGACATCTGGCCTCCTCTAACTGACGACATCATCTTCTTATTGTCAGTTGATCAAGTACAAGTAAGATACTTTGTGCCAACTGGGAACCTCGCTGGACTTTTTCAAGGTATTTTTATTGTTGAAGAGTACAATGTAGTGATAGTCCAATCTATTTTTTTTTCTAAGGACTTGTGATAAATAGTTTATCGAATTTGCTCGAGACTCAAAAGATTAGTTTCTTAAAACAATTGTTTGGTTCATTGTTGCATTAAATTTTTCAAGTGTTGTGTTTCTTTTAATTAATAAACTTAGTTTTTAATTATTATATTCTCAATATTTCTCTTTATTATATTCTCAATATTTCTTTATTATATTCTCAATATTTCTCATTCGTTAAAATTAAATTCTTTTATGTTATTTATCTATTTTAAATTGAATAATATTTTTAAAAAAATGTATGCGTATCAGAATATTTATTTAATGAATTATTTAATGAAATGATGAACATCTTCTGATTTTATAGCTATAAAATTTAATCATATTATGATAGAAATCGCATTTACTTTAAAAACATTTATATATATTCTTTTATTTAATTTATTCAATAATTTGCATATTTTTCTATATATATTAATTGACGATAAGTAGTAAAGTCAAATTTGACATAAGTATCTCTTATACGATATCTATATTTTTTTATTGAGAAAACTCGAAAATATATTTTAGTATCATATTCGAAAATTAGATCGAATCGTATCGTATCGACAGCTTCGAGCAAAATACAACCGGAAGTCCGGTTCAGTCAAGCAACTATCGATTCGGTCAGCATTTACCTTCCCATGGGTAATAATCGCAAGTGATCGTTTGTGCGTCGCAAGAAAGGAGGGAGAGGGACTCTTCCGTTTCGCCTCGATCTGCTCTCCTTTTTTTCTCGCTCGTGCCATTACACGCGGACTATTTGTCTCTGGGGCGATGGACGAATGGTCCATTGTCTCGCAAGTTTCTCGATCGAGGACCCCGCGCCGGAAATCGACCATCGAAACCGCACCCGTACATCGTCGTGTATGTGCGATGCAATGCGTATCCATAATATCTCATAAAAGTGACCCGATAACTATTTCAGGGTCGAACGATTTTGTGAAATAGCTTTTTATTTTTATATTGCCAAAGTTTGATGTACATAAATAATACAATACTGTAAATATGATAGTGTAAGATATCATCAGATCTAACGATAAATTATAACAGAATATTGGCACGTATCGTTATCGATTTTTGAAGTAATTATTTACGTGAGAGCTAAATTGAACGTGTGTCTAGCCGTAATTAGTTGAATAATATTCTCAAATGGAGAACTAATTCTCGATAATATATCCTGAGACATATATAAAGACATATACAAATATAATGGCCAAGGACGACTGATAATTACATTTTAAGTTATTGCTACGAGTGATACTCTATAATTTACGGGCGATAACGATTTTAATCAAAGATATCTCATCGTTTGGAAAGGAGAAACAAGAAATATGATGCGCATAAAATCATGTAATATATACTAGCTATAAAAAAAATTAATTATAATCATAGAAATATAGAATATGATTGGAATGTAAGATACACAAAGAGATGCAATAAGAATATTTTAGACATAAAGTTTCAAGAGATCTTAATGTTTTCATTAAGGAAAAAAGTTTATGCGGTGTTTTAGAAATATATTTATAACAATATAGTCTATGACAGTATTGACACTGTGCAGATTATTAAGGATTGCTACACATAACTTCATAATTATTTCACACTTTCATTATTTCCATGTATTATTTTTCATAAAGGAAACCGCGTAAACTTTCTTATTTATCTCGTGTTACTTTTGCACCTTTATATTTTTTGTGCCTTTTCTCTTACCATTTACCGTTTTTTATAATTTACAGTATTTTCGCAACCAGTCCACATAATCCTGGTGTCTGATATGTCGCACGAGAGTCATCACGTGTCCCGGTTTCTGTACTTTTCCCGCGATGGAAAACCGCACCACCTGGAGCATAATAAACGCGCTGATAGAAGAAGAATGACGCAGGACACGAGAGAGTGAACATAGAGACAAAAGCAGGTAAGAGAATGATCAAGAGATAGTACAAAAGAAGCAGAAGGAATCGGATGGATGGAGAGATAAAGAGAGCGGGGGTGGAGAAAGAGAGAGGGAGGGAGAAAGAGAAAGGAAGGAGAAGAACGAGGAGATTCCCGTTGACGGGGATTCGACGAAGCAGCGATGTTTAATCGGTGTTGGCCCGCATCAGGTTGATCGAGGACCCCCCAACCGGGTGTTGGAGGACGACATGGGCCTGACGACGACATAGGGAGGTCCGGAGTAGCGCAAGCGGAACCGGGATGAGGCTGCGCCGTGCCGATCAGGCGAACAATGGAGGCGGGATGCTCATTTGTCTGCGGGCATTGTTGTTCACCCGGCCGGAAACACGAGCCTCGTACTCTCCTTTTCCCCTCTCTGTCTCCATCTCTCTTCCTCTCTCTTTCTCTCCCCCTCGCGTTCGCCATCCGTGCATCCTCCTCGTCAATGTCTCCCTTCCTCCCGCCGTACCTTTTTCCAGTATGAAAGTACCGCGATGATTCCGCCAATCGTGTCGCTCGACGTTCGCAGGTCGATGGTGCAAAAATTCGGGATAACCGTTTCCACCATGTTCAACCGCGAGTCGACGCACAATGTTGAATGTGTCCGACTCGTCCGCTGACTTATCGATTGGTGAAAGTTCACATCGGATCCCGATATGTCATTTAGATTCTTAAGAAGAAGAGATCTCTTCTCTTGTAAGGCAAGAACAAAGATGGGACCGACAAGCATCTAATTTGCGCTGTTGTAGCAACCTAATTTCTCCTTCGAGCTTTTGGCAGGTAGATCCTACTCAAATTATCTAATTTGCCAAAGAATCGTTAATTAGTGACTACCTGTATTACTTAATTAATGTATCTGTCACGCTAGCTTATTAATTTAAGCAATAATATACATATCATGCGGCTTCTTATGTATTATCGCGTACAATCTAATTTGCTTGGATCGCATTTCGAGATATTTAATGATATTCGCATGAATAAACATCGCAATAAACGTCATCGATTCATCAGCGGTAAGAGATGGTAATCCGTTGATTATCAATCGCGTGATTTATCGATGATTACGAAGGGGAATTTTGCGAAGAAAAAAAGGAGGTCAGCCAACAAAATGCGCGGAAACAAAAAGGAACGGGAGCGTGTGCAGTAGGTAGGTTACAAAAATAGAGGGGCAATTTCGCGGACGACCACATTCACCAGCGGTCATCGAAGAGGCCCTCGCTTTTTACGATCGTTTCGGATCCCTTCAACCGGCAGGAGCCGGCACGAAGAGGAGCAGTCGAAGGATCGCCGGCGAGGAAAGAAAAAGAAGTGAGAGAGAGAGAGAGAGAGAGAGGGAAATAGGAGGAGGCTCGGCGATTGAATAGGAGGAGGCTCTGCCAAATTAACAATGATTTATGAGGTCGCTGTACCCAATATACCATTCTATTAACATCGCATTATTCGATCGACAAATTACACACCAACGGTCTCGCGCTTTCGGGCCGGATTCGACACTTTTTATTTGCACGATAACAAATGATCCCGGTGCATCAATTACCTCGAACACGTGTGTAACAAACAGGAATCCGCGCTTAACAAGGTCATCCTTATAGAAAGCTTAAACATTCAATAAATAAATCTTTTTCAAAGGTGTTCAAATAATTATGATGCATTGTAGAACATATGATATATCGTAACATATAAATAACATTAAAGATAAAGGATGCCCGAGATAAAAATTAAATCAATAAGAAATCAAGGATTTGTAAATAAATTATTTGGAATGTAATAATGTAAATTTATCTTATTTACGATATTTCGACGTATATTGTATATTTTTGTTAAATGTTGCAACTCGCTCATCTAATTGGCCGCGTCCGCAGAATTTTCTCATTGCGTGTAAAAATTACTAATGCATGATACGTTTTGTTAATATTTTCTTCGCCAGCGGCACGATTCATATTTTCCGATAAGTATCGATATCGCAAGGTATACCGTCCCTATCTTCCGTTATATCTGCCAGGTAAATTCTCAACGATAAATATCGCATTATATGGAAAACTGATTTATATAAATTAAACATTGTTAATATATTTATATTAATATTACGGTAACGTATACAGTTTGTACGCGTTTGTTCGATTCTCACTAATTGCAAAGGTTTCATAATTACATATAAATTTACATATCGCATGGGAAAAGATTCGCGCGAGAGACGCATAGATTTTTCCGTAATCGTTTTTTTTTTTAATTTCATGTACCTTCGCCCATCGATCGGACCCAATGATGCGGACGGTAGCCATTTTGAAGCACGCGGACCCAGTTTCGCGGCTTCTTCGTCGTGATGTGGAAGAAGGGGTCCAGGAGGGATCGTGGGGGCGCATCATGGCTCATTGGGCAGGCGAACAAA